CTCCGCCGACCACACGCTGCACACTAGAAACCACCCAACAATTCCTGGAAAAATACGCAACAATCTATACAGACTATATACACTGTGCTTGTGGAGCGTTGATTCTTCTTGATGCACTTTTTTTGCTTAGCGTCCACCACCCGCATGATCCCCTTGCTTGACCCTTCCGAGGTTCCTCATTCCAATTTGCATTCCAGTCCCCTCCTTCACACACGGTTCATCCTCTCGCCCTGTTCCCATCGTCGCCTCGTTACGAATCTCCACTTACGTACAACGACGCGATCCGACAACTCTACGAGTCCTCCCGGCCCGCATCAGATCGGTCGCCCTACCTCCGGTGCCGAGAAATGGGTAAATAACCGTTCGTAGTTCCCCGTGTGTCACTAGAAAAAAAAGGTAGCCCTTCGTGGTGGATCGATGCTTTATCAGTCGCTCTCGCTGGGGGTCTCATAGCCCAAGTGGTCGTCATCAGCCGGTGATAGAGGGTACTCCATCTCTTTGGAATCAATTTCGACACCTGCAACTCGCTCAGTGTCTCGTAGAGAGAAAGTGGGGCATACATACCATCCAGAGTGTATCCGTCGATGGTGACGAGCCGCAAATAATCGTGTCGCGCGCAACGGCCTTGTTGACTTACCCGATACCTCCGTTTGATCAATTCCTGTGTCCATGCATGCCCTCTTTCTTCCCAACTGTCAAACCAATCTTGGAGGTGGCCGGGAAGAAGCGGGTCAGACCCGCGGGGCATCATATTGGTAATACCATTCCTGAAAGCCGAGTAGAGAGCGAGCATATGGGATCTCTGGTGTAAAGGAACGGGTGTACTGCACGTCAATCGACAGTGTACGCAGTCTGCACACCTAGGTCTAGTATTGTGACCACTAAATTTCTGTATTAATACATTCTCTCACTGAAATTACTAATGATCAGAATTACGCACATGTCAAGATTGAAGCGAATGTCAATGAACGAAAGCTCTTTGAGAGAAGGCATCTCCAGGGGAATCCTGCCCAGTAGTAATGCGCTCAGTGGCCCTAATATATAAGGAGCTGGATACCCTGGAAGTTCTATACTTGTGATCCGTGTGATATTATGATAGATGTTTCGCCTCAGGAGCATGTATAAAAGCACGTCCCATTCTGGATATCCGTGTATGGCAATCGTTTCTAGACTTGGACCTGTTCGAGGATACCGAAGTAGTAATTGAAAGAAATAGGTTGCTCCTACTGACCCATATTTCTCATCAAAAATGATTTTGGTGAGGAAAGAAAACGAGCAGCGGGGATAACAATACCACCCATCACGATTTAGCCACTTGAGTGTGACAAGCTGCGTAAATTTAATGTCAGTCCAGTCGATAATCTCTGCAAGTTCGGGTCCCAGATGTAGGGATTGGACACTAGTTACAAACCCGCGATCGATTTCTGGATAGGGCACATCTGTTATTAGCTCGTCCGGATCGGATCTGTTCCAGATGGTGAGGCTGATAAGGTTAGGCATGCTTACGTAGCGTAACACTTGCTCAGTCCTTGTCGTCAGAATTTTCAACGAGGGACAAGATATTGTTCTGGCTCGGTCATGTTGCACAGAACCATCGGTGGTCAATGTATTCAATTGCTCCACACCTTTGAGAAACCGAACTAGGTCACTGGCAAAGACGTCGAAATAGAAATAGAGCCTTCGAACATTGGTCAAGCTGCCGTCAAGGGCATCCAAGAGGATACGAGGTCTAGTTGCTTTCTGTGAACCAGAATGTACTTGTACTACCTTTAACCGAAATTCATGTATCTGAGGAAGAGTAGGCGCCTTCCACCCAGCGTCCTCGACTTTGCCAGATGAGTCGACAGAGATATAGACATTGATGCTGAGTTGGTGTAAAAAAGGGGCTTCATCAATTGCGGTAAGAAGTTCGAATACTTGCTCCCACCCTATCTTGAGTTCCAGTACACGGACACTAGACCTCACTGAGAATAATAGCGGCTGTATATAAATCCACGGTTCCCAGTATGATTGTAAGTTCTCCAGAGGGGCGATACTTTTGCATGACTCGGTGTACAATCTGGGTGGCATTCCTCGCTCCTTCAATGTAGAACCAGAGAGAACCAAATCTTTGAGCTCAGTCAATTTGACGAGCTCAGGTATTACGGTTTCCATTGGTGAAATTGTTCTCAAATATCGTAGACGAGTGAACCTGGAGAGTTCTGAAACGTCCCCAGGTGATGAGGAAGGTGTCAAATACCTGAGATTGGGCGCGTCAAGGAAACGGAGAGGTGAGGATAGCACAGGGCAACTTATATCACCTATATCAATGGTAAGAGACTCGAGTGAAGGTAGCGGTCCCAAATATTTGAAAAAACTCCCGATCGAGTTGTCCAGCGGGTCATTAGATTCCCAGTTCTGGCCCGGAGAATACCCTGGAAGCACTTTAAGCTTCAAGTGCTTAACTCGAGTTACCTCTCTCTCTATAATCATTTTCTGCACGTCAGGTGCTATAGGAACATCAACCGTCATACATAAAAGTAGACCCTTGGACAGAAATAACGCCAAGTGCGCCACTTCCAACGCATCCAAGTCTGCTCTAATGTATATAGATGTCCATAGTCGCGGTATCGACAGTATGATGGAAGACCATCGTTGACATACCAGTGTCAATGGCAGAATATCGGCACAGTCATCCTCAGCGACCTGTTGTAGGAGATGCATCCACATTTCGGGAGGCAGATATTGTAACGGATCTGGAAATCGGGGTACTTGAGGATTCTCTTCTACTAGAGAGTTGTACCGTGACTTGAGGTCACGACGGCTTCTAGTTGAAAGCCGGTCTTCTGGTCCATTTGATTCGAGGGCCGAATCCTCCTGAAGTAGCTGGATAAGTTCCTCCGCATTGTAGTCTTGGTTTGTGGATTGCATCTAGGGGACCTGCTTGCATTCGACAGGGTGGCAAGGGTCAAGGTGAAGTTCAAGGGCAAGTGACGAGTCATCGCCATCAAAACTTTTGTATTCACGAGTTCTATAATCAAAAGATACCATGTCATAGACGAGATTCGTATCCCACGGCGTGAAATATCGTAAATTCGTTTCGAACACTATGCATTACTATTCTCATGCGATTAGATCAAATGTTAAAATGCTCTTCTTAGCAAAGAAGGTTAGAAGCTTCAATCTTGGATAAGATAACAACTATACAGCGCACAAGAACAATATATGCACTACATACACTGAGCTTATGGATCATGGGTTTTCTTGATGGCAATCTTCTTAGTGTCGATGACGATTCCCTCTCGCATGACCCACTATAGTGCGCCTTCAATTCAGCTGTCCTGCATTCTCCTCACGTAGCCCCTTCCTTCTATCCCTTTTCCTATCGTCGCCTCCTTACGGACCTCCAGGTACATACAAACTCTAAAGATTTATGGTGGATGACACGATTCGACAACTCGACGAGTCTTCTCGGCCCGCATCAGATCTGTCACCCTCTCTCTCCGGTGCGGAGGAATGGGCAAACGATTTGTAGTTCCCTGTGTGTCTCTTATAAAAAAAGAATGAACTGTTTATGCTTGACCGGCGCTTTACCAGTCGTACTTGTTATCGTTATTTTCAGAATACTCCCTCCGAAAGTGAAGTTTATGGCGCAAGCCGTGACAATTAGAGTTAATTATAGGGAGATGTTTATACTATAAAGGACGAGATAATAATCAAACTAATTGAACAATCGCGGTCATTGTTCGAGGAAGGCACAATATCGACACGCTACCGGCCACTCAAACCCTGCCAGATCCGTCGGTGGCCGCAAAAAACTCGTCATCGGTCTCAGATTCCAAGGGGTCACTCCTCGTTAGAAATCCAGGTCTTTCGTCATAAGTCCCGGACAACGGGTACTCGAGCTCTTTGGAATCAATTTCGACGCCTATAACGGGTTCAGCTTCTCGTAAAGAATAAGTGGAGCATACGTACCATCCAGAGTGTGTCCATTGATGACGACGAGTTGCAAATAATCGTGTCGCGCGCAGCGAGGTTTCCTTTTTCTCCAGACGTTCCATTTCATCAATTTCTGTGTCCATGCGTACCCTCTTTCTTCCCAGCTGTCGAACCAGTCCCGGAGGTGGTCAGGAAGAGGCGGGTCAGACCCGAGAGGCATATTAACTTTCCTGTCCCTGAGATCTTGCTGGAGGTCAAGCGTAGTGTATCCCAACCTTTGGCAGGGACCAAATGTACTGCATATCAATCGACAGTGTATGCAGCTTGCACACCTATGTCTATTGTTGTGAGTTATATGAGTGTCTCGCCGGAATTACTAAAAATAGGAATGACCCACATCCAGGGAACGTCGAGGAATGAAAGGTCTTTGAGAGATGGCATTTCCAGTGGGATCTTGCCCTGTAATAATGCACTCAGCGGTGCTAATATATATGGAGCTGGATACCCGGGAATCTCTATACTCGTAATTCGTGAAATATTATCCTGATGACGATAGACGTTTCGTCTCAGGAGCATGTATAGAAGTGCGTCCCATTCTGGATATCCATGTACGGCAATCGTTTCTAGACGTGGACAGGTTCGAGGATACCGAAGTAGTAGTTGACAGAAATAGGTTGCCCCTACTGACCCATATTTCTCATCAAAAATAATTTTGGTGAGTGAAGGAAAGGGGTAGCGTGGATAACAATACCACCCGCCACGATTTAGCCACCTGAGTGTGACAAGCTGCGTAAACGGAGTGTCAGTCCAGTCGATAATTTCTGCAAGTTTGGGTCCAAGATGTAACGTTTGGACGCTAGTTACAAAGCTGCGATCGATCTCTGGATAGGGCTCGCCTGTTGTTAGCTCGCCCGAAGTGTATCTGTTCCAAATTGTGAGACTGATGAGGTTGGGCATGCTTACGTAACGTAACACTTGCTCAGTCCCTGTCATCAGAGTTTTCAACGAGGGACAAGATATTGTTCTGGCTTGGTCAATTTGTACGGAACCTTCAATGGTCAATATATTCAAATGCTGCATACTCTTGAGAAACCGAACTAGATCACTGGCAAAGGTGTCACCATTGAGATCAAGCGTCCGGATATTGGTCAAGCTACCATCAAGAGCTCCCAAGAGGGCACGATTCAACTTGGCACCAGATCTAGTTACTTGCAGATAATCTTGTGTTACCCTCAACCGAAAGTCTTGTATTTGAGAAAGAATGGGCGCCTTCCACCCAATAGCTTTGACTTCGTCTTTTGAGTTGATAGTGACGTTGATGTGGAGTTTGTGTAAACAAGGTGCTTCATGAACTGCGGCAAGAAGCTTGAATACATGCCCCCACATTATGTCGAGTTCCAATACACGGATACTGGACCTCACTGAGAATAAGAGCGGCAGAATATAAATCCACGGTTCTTGGTATGACCGTAAGCTCTCCAGAGGAGCGATACTTTTGCATGACTCGGTGTGCGATTCGGGTGGCATCCCTTGCTCCTCCAATGCAGAACCAGTGAGAACCAATTCTTTAAGGTCGGTCAATGTGATGAGCTCAGATATTACGGTTTTCAGTGATGAATTTACTCTCAGAGATTGTAGGCGGTTGAATCTAGAGAGTTCTGAGACGGGCTCAGGTGATAAAGAAGGTGTCAGATACGTGATATTGGGCGCGTTAAGGAAACGGAGCGCTGAGGATAGCGTAAAGTGTTTACCACATCTATCAATGGTCAGAGACTCGAGTGATGATAGTGATCTCATATCTCTGAAAAGTCTCCCGATCCAGCTGTCCAGGCGCTCATTGGCTTCCCTGTTCGGGGACGGAAAATACCCTAGAGGCACCTTAAGGTTGAGGTGCTGAACTCGAGTTATTTCTATCTCTAGAAACGTTTTCCATACGATAGGGGCTGTAGTAACATCGACCGTCATACATAATGGTAGACCCTTGGACAGAAATAGCGCCAAGTGCGCCACTTCCAACGCATCCAAGTCTGCTCTAATGTATATAGATGTCCATAGTCGCGGTGTCGACAGTATGATGGAAGACCATCGTTGACATACCAGTGTCAATGGCAGAATGTCGGCACAGTCATCCTCAGCGGCCTTTAGTAGGACGTGTATCCACATTTCGGGGGGTAGGCATTGTGACTGGTAGCGGAATAATCCAGAACTTGGCTCTACTAGGGTGTTATGTCGTGATTTGAGGTCACGAAGAGTTCTTAATGAAGGTAGGTCTTCGAGTTCGTTTGATTCGAGAGCGGATATCTCCTGGAGTAGTTTGATACGTTTTTCTTCATTGGCATCTTGATTTGTGGATCGCATCTTGGCGGTCCGAGGTGGCTCTGAGTTTATTCGACAACTGTGGCGAGGTTCAAGATCGTGGGCAACAGACGAGTCGTAACATTCAAGCCATTGTCTCCATGCGTTCTCTCTTGCCGGAATCAAAAGATAGAAAGTATTGAATCGTGACATACATAGACTAAATTACTCCATTGAGTAAAATATCGTACTGTCGCAGCTAAAGTATATTCGTTTCGAAAACTATCACCCTTCACTCTTTTCCTATCCTCGCCTCGTTACGAACCTCTACTTTCCTCTAGAGTATTATGGTGGACGACGCAATCCGACAACTCAAGGAGTCCCTCCAGCCCGCATTAGATCGGCCACTCTACCACTGTTTCCAAGAAACAGGTAAATAACTGTTATTCGTTGCCCATGCGCCATCAATAAAAAAGAAAAAAGAGGTAGTCGTTCGTGGTCGGTCGATGGTTTACCAATCGTACTCGTTGCCAGCCTCAGACCCTGAGTGCTCGTCATCAGTCTGAAATACCTTGTCATCTATCTGAGATAGAGGGTCCTCGTTGTCGCTTCCAGGTTCCAGGTCTTCGCTTCCAACACTTGGTATGTCCAGTCCAACCCCCCACTCAGCACCAATCTGAAATACTGGGTACTCGAGCTCTTTAGAATCAATTATGATGTCTAGAACTGGCTCAGCGCCTCGTGGAGAAGAAAAGAAAAGGCACACGCACCATCTAGAGTGTGACCATCAATCACGACGAGTCGCGAATAATTATGTCGCGCGCAGTGGCTTTTTCGCTGTCTCCAGTCTTTATGTTCGAGCCCTTTTTGTGCCCATGCGTACTCCCTTTCTTTCCAGATGTCGAACCAGTCTCGGAGGTGATTGGGAAGAGGCGGATCAGACCCTTGGGGCATTTTCGCTTTCCTCCTTTGGATAGCCCGCCTGAGTTCGGATATAGAAAAATATGGGTCACTTGAAGGGATGGGTGTAATACATGCCAGTCGACAGTGTACACAATCTGCACACCCAGATCTAGTTTCGTGAGTACAAATCGTATATATGACTAGTAATAGAAATTACGCACATGGCAGGATCAGAGTAAATGAGCATATATGAAACTCCTTCGAGAGAAGGAATCTCCAATGGAATCTTGCCTAGTAGTAAAGTGTTCAGGGGCACGACTATGCTCGGAGCTGGATACCCTGGAAGCCCTATACTCGTAATTCGTGAAATGTTGTCTTGACTCTGGTACACGTTTCGTCTCAGGAGCATGTATAGGAGCATGTCCCATTCTGGGTACTCGTGCATATAAACCGTCTCCAGACGTGGACACAATCGAGGGTACCGGAGTAACAGCTCACAGAAAGAGCTCGCTCCTAGATATTGATTGGATTCAGCAAAAGTAATTTTGGTAAGGGAAGGGAATGGGTGATACAGATGAAAGTATGTTCGCCCAGAACCTATCCACTCGAGTGTGAGGAGCTGCGTAAACTTAGTGCCATCGGGGATGAGAATATTTGCAATTCTAGTATCCAGAGATAATGATTGGACGCTTGTTACAAAGCTGCGATCGATCTCTAGATTGGGTACGCCATTTATTGGCTTGTCCAGATCGTACCTACTCTGTATCGTGAGGCTGAAGAGGTTTGGCATGCTTACGTAACGTAAGATCCCTTCCGTTTCCGCCACCAGTCTTTTCAATGCGGGGCAAGATATCCTTCTGGCTTCATCATTTTCTACAGAACCTTTGATGTTCAATACATTCAAATGTTCCATACCTTTGAGAAACCGGACTAGATCACTGGCAACGATGTCGGAATCCAGATGTAGCGTCTGAATATTGACCAAGCTGCCATCAAGAGCGTTCAGGAGGATATGAGTCGCCTTGGGTATAGCTATATCTCCCCTTGGATACACTTTTAACCCAAATTCTTGTAATTGAAGAAGCGTAGGTGTCTTCCACCCAATGTCTTTGAGTTCGTCTTCGTAGGGATCGACGAAGATGGAGATTTGGAGTTGGTGTAAATAATGTGCTTCATAAGTTGCGGTGAGAAGCTCGAATACTTTCCCCCATCTTATTTCGAGTTTTAGCACACGGATACTAGAGGTCACTTGGGTCAAAAGTGGCCAAATATAGTTCGAAGATCTCTGGTGTGATCGCAAGTACTCTAGAGGGGGAATGTACTTGCATGTTTTGATATATGATTCGGGAGGCATCTCTTGTTCCCCTTGTTCCTCCCACGCAACACCAGAGAGAACCAACTCCTTGAGGTCAGTGAACTTGACCAGCTTGGGTATGACGGTTCCCAACTGCAAGTATGTCTCTAGAGATCGTAAACCAGTATATATAGGGAGCGCTAGGGCATCATCAGATAATGAGACGTGTGTCACATACTTGATGTTGGGCGCATTGAGGTAACGAAGCGCCAAACATAGAGCAGAGTCTCCCCTATCATCTATATCACTTGTCAGAGACTCGAGTAATGGTAATTGTCCCAAGTCTTTGAAAAGGCTGCCGATAGAATAACCAAACAAATGGCTAAGCGGGTCATTATCATTCTCGCTCCAGAACGGAGAATGCCCAGGGAGCATTTTAATTTTTAGGTATTGAATGCGATTTGCCTCTCTTTGTAGAAAAGCATCCCGTAGAATAGGTGTTATAGGAATATCAATCGTCATATATAATGGTAGACCCTTGGACAGAAATAGCGCCGAGTGCGCCAGCTCTAAACCTTCTAGGTCTCTTCTAAGATATACGAATTTCCACAGTCGTGGTGTAGATATTATAATATATCCCCAACGGTGACATACCTGTGTCAGCGGTAGAATATTCAGACAGTCATCGTCAATGACCTCGAGAAGGATGTCCATCCATATCTCTGTGGGTAGATATTCAAACAAGTCAGGGTATGGAGTTGTTTGGATACTCGTTTCTATCAGAGCATTATACTGTGACTTGAGACCACGAAGGCTTCTAGTTGAAGGTGGATCTGTAAGTTCGTTTGATTCGAGAGAGGATATCTTCCGGAGTAGTCTGATACGTTCGACTTCATCGGTATCTTGGTCTATGGACTGCATCTGGGAAGTCCGACACGGCTCTGGGTTTGTTGGCGGAGGTCAAGGTGAAGTTCATGGACAAGCAACAAGCTGCCGTCATCTATATAAGCCCTTGTCTTCACGTGTTATCTCTTGCTATAATCAAAAGATAGAAAATATTGAATCGTGACACAGACAGTATTAGTACCCCTATTGAGTCAAATACGGACCATTGATATGGTGCATTGATTTCGAACGTTATGCGTTAACGTTATGCGTTACGTACCATAGGTGAATAGGTCAAGTATCAGACATTTATACAAACGCGCTTATCATCAAATGAGGTTGTCCATCAGTTCGTAAATAAATGTACAACGCATGAGTAGATACACTACAAACGCACTGCAGTTCGTAAGTTTCCTTATTCACTCCTCTAAGTGCCAATCATGATTCCCTCTAGTGTGACCCAACACTGTCAATTCAATTGTATTGCATTCCACAGTTTGACATATCCCTTTCTTCCATCCCTAACCCATCGTTGCCTCGTTACAAACCTCCAGTTACGTACATCTGCCCTACAATCTATGGCAGAAACCGCGATCTGACAACTTCCCCGGCCCGCATCAGATCAGTCACGCTACCATCGGTGTCGGGCATCGGAAAAAAAGAGGAAAATAACCGTTCGTCATCAGTCTAAAGATACCAGGTATTCGAGTTCCTTGGAATCAATTCTGACACCTACAACTAGCTCAGTGTCATATAGAGAAAAACCTGGGGCATACGTACCATCCAGAGTGTGCCCATCAATCATTACGACCCGCGAATAATCATGTCGTATGCAGCTAATTCTTCGCAGTCTCCAGTCTTCATGTTCGAGCACTTTTTGAGCCCATGCGTACTCTTTTTCTTTCCAGACGTCGAACCAGTCTCGGAGGTGATTGGGAAGAGGCGGGTCAAATCCCTCGGGCATTTTCGCTTTCCTTTTCCGGACAGCATGTTCGAAGTTGGATAAAAAAATAGTACGGGCCACTTGAAGGGATAGGCATACTGCATGGCAGTCGACAGTATAGACATTCTGCACACCCAGGTCTAGTCCAGTGAGTACAAATTCATATATCAATACACCTTACACCAATTACTAGGATAGAGGTGACCCACATGGTAAGATCAGATAAGATCAAGTAATATAGAAACCCTTCAAGAGAAGGAATCACCAACGGAATCTTGCCTAGTAACAACGTCTTCAAGGGCACAAGTATGCTCGGAGCTGGATACCCTGGAAGCCCTATACTTGTAATTCGTGAAATGTTGTCTTGGCTCTGGTACACATTTCGTCTAAGCAGCATGTATAGGAGCATGTCCCATTCCGGATACTCGTGCATGCAAATCGTCTTCAGACGTGGACACAACCGAGGATACCGGAGTAATAGCTCACAGAAATAGCTCGCTCCTAGATTTTGATTGTATGCAGCGAAATTGATTTTGGTAAGGGAAGTGAACGGGTGATATAGATGAAAATATGTTGACCCAGAACCTATCCACTCGAGTGTGAGGAGCTGCGTAAACTTGGTGTCATCGGGGATGAGAATAGCCGCAATTCTAGTATCCAGAGATAATGACTGGACGCTAGTCACAAAGCTACGATCGATATCTGGATAGGATATGCACTTTATTGACTTTTCCAGATCATATGTGCTGTTAATCGTGAGGCTGAGGAGGTTTGGCATGCTCACGTAACATAAAACCCCTTCCGTTTTCGCTATTAGAGTTTTCAACGAGGGGCAAGATACCATCCCAGCTTCATCATTTTCTACATAACCCAGGACGTTCAATATGTTCAGATGTTCCATACCTTTGAGAAATCGAACTAGGTCACTGGCAAAGATGTCGCAATGGAAATGTAGCGTCTGAAGGTTGGCCAAGCTGCCATCAAGGGCGTCTAGGAGCGCCTTGGCTACGAATATAGCTTGCCTTTCATATACTGATAGCTGAAAACATTGTATTTGGAGAAGAGTAGGGGCCTTCCAACCGGTGGCCTTGACTACATCTTCGTCGGGATCGACCATGATAATGATTTCGAGTCTATGTAAATAAGGTGCTTCATGAATTGCAGTGAAGAGCTCGAATACGTCCCCCCATCTTATTTTGAGTCCCAATTCACGGGTTCTAGAGATTACTTGGGCTAATAATGGCCAAATATAAGTCGATGGTGTCTGGAATAATCGCAAATACTCTATAGGGGCGATAATATTGCATACTTTTGTATACGATTTGGATGGGGTCTCTTGTTCCTCCCGTGAAGAATCAAAGAGACTCAACGCCTTGAGCGCAGTTAACTTGACCAGCTTGGGTATAACAGTTTCCAGCCGCGAGCTTGTTTGCAGGTATCGAAAACTGTGGAATATAGGAAGCGTTATGGTATCGTCAGGTAAAAAGGTAGGCATCACATGCTTGATTTTGGGTGCGTTCAGGCAACGGAGTGCCAAGGATAGAATGGTGGGATTAAAAAAAATCAAGACCAATCATGTCGAGAGACTCGAGAGATGGTAGAGGCCCCAAGTCTCTGAAAAGACTTCCGATACAGGAAGCGGTTGATTCGATAGCATTCCCGCCCTGGTACAGGAGATACCCTGGGACTATCGTCAGATGTTGAATACGAGCTACTTCTCTTTTCAGAAAAGTTTCCTGCACAATGGGTGTCATGGGAACATCAACCGTTATAGATAAGGGTAGACCTTTGGACAGAAATAGCGCCGAGTGCGCTAATTCTAAAGCGTCTAGATCTCCTCTAATATTTATAAATATCCACAGCTGTGGTGTAGATATGATAATGGATGTCCAACGTTGACATACCTGTATTAGTGGTAAAATGTTCAGACAGTCACCGTCAATGACCTCGAGGAGAATATGCATCCATATCTCTGTGGGTAGATATTCAAAAAGGTCAGGATATCGAGTTCTTGGCATATTCTGTTTTATCAGAGCGTTGTACTGTGACTTGAGGTCCCGAAGGGTTCTAGTTGAAGGTAGATCTGCAAATTCGTTTGATTCCAGGGTGGATATCTTCCGGATCAACTTGACAGGTTCTAATTCATCGGTATCTTGGTTTGTGGATTGCATCTGGAAGGTTTAACACGACTACGTCTTTGTCATATGATTGTGGCAGAGGTCAAGGTGAGGTCCATGAGCAAACAACGAGTCTACCTTATGTAAACCCTTATCTTCATGTGTCCTCTCTCTCTATGACGAGATATAGTAAGTATTGAATCATAACATAGACGAGATTAATATCCCACTGAATAGAATATGGGCAAGGTACATTCATTTCGAACGCATGGTGCATCACCATTCTTATGTAACTAAACCTATAAAGTCATTATTTACGCAAAGTGCTTCTCCACAAAGAAGGCTGGACCGGTAAGTTTTAATCTCACATGGCCAGACTGTTATCAATGAGTTTTATTGTGAATAGCTTGACCACGTACAAAACACATAATAATATACACAACATACATTTTATGCTTGTGGAGCGTGGATTGTTCTGCATGCACTTCTCTTGGCGTCAACCGCGACCCTTCCAGCCAATCACGATCTTTCCAGGGTTCCTCGACCCTCTCCCGTCGTCTCCTCGTTACGAACCTCCTCTTATGTCTTACACCCCAAACTTACGGAAATTACCAGTCGCTCCGACAACTCGACAACCTCTGCTGGCCCACACCAGATTGGTCGCCCTACCGGTGGTGCCCAGCATCATCCAAAAAGGAAAGAAAAGAGAAATAGCCGTCGTAGTTAACTGATGTTTCACCAATAGTGTTCACCATCATCCTCAGATCCCGAGTGCTCGTCATCAGCTTGAAACTCTGGGAACTTTTCATCAATCTGAGATACTAGGCCCTTGTTACCATTCTCAGATTCTGGGTATTCAGGCCCTCTTGAATCAAGTTCAACACCTGGTTTGTCCCATTCAGCCTTCCATTTGTCATCAACCTGAGAGACTGAGTACTCGAGCTCCATAGAGTCGAGGGCGACACCTTTAACTGGTTTAGTATCTCGTGTCGAGAAACCAAGGCATACGTACCATCCAAGGTGTGTCCATTAATTACGACGAGTCGCGAGTGATCGTGTCGTGCACAGTGATCTGCTCGTTGCATGCGTCCTTTCCATTTAAGCTGGCTCTCCAACCATGAATGCCTTCTTTCCAACCAGCTGTCGAACCAGACTCAGAGGTGGTTGGGAACAGGTGGATTGGACCATCTGTTCATGCGGCGTCTTGTTTGCAGGAGATCGAATTTGAGACGGAATGGATCCTTGTCACTTGAAGAAACAGGTGTACTGCATGTCAGTCGACACTTTATGCAGTCTGCACACCCAGATCTAGTACCAAGTTTCTGCATTAGTACAGCTCCTTACACGAATCACTGATGATAAGAACTACACACATGGTTGGGTTAAAGAAAGTGTCGGCGAATGAAAGTTCCTCAAGAGACGGCATCCCGAGCGGAATCTTGCTCGACAGTAAAGTGCTCAAGGGCACCAATATACGCGGAGCTGGATATCCTGGAAGTTCTATGCTCGTAATTCGTGAGATATGACTATTATAGACGTTTCGCCTTAGGAGCATATACAAGAGCATGTCCCACTCCGGGTAGTTGTGCATGCAAAGCGTCTGCAGATGCGGACATAATCGAGGAAAACGGAGTAGGATTTCGCAGAAGTCGCTCGCCGCTGAAAGTCCATGCTTCTCGTCAAGAGATATTTTGGTTATCGAAGGGAAGGACTTCAGTAGATAAGAAAAATTACTCTCACTGCCTATAAACTTGAGCGTGAAAAGCTGCTTAAACTCGCTTGCATTGCCCAAGATTTTATCCCCAAGGTGGCTGTCCACGTACAATGAATGAAGATTGGCTACAAATGTCCGGTCGAATGGCCCCATGAATGAATATTTATTATATACCCAGCCTTCCTTCTCCAGAAGTGTGAGGCTGCTGAGGTTCGGCATGCGTAGGTAGTACAGGATATCCTTGTCCTTGGCCTTCAGAACCTTCAATGAAGGACAAAGTGAAGGACGAATTGTCCTTTCCCTGTTTCCATTGTGATGTATCAAACCATCAAGGTACAATATATTCAGGTCTTCAAGATTATCAATAAACCGAACTAGATCGATGCCAAAGATGTCGGATATGAGATGAAAGATTTGAACCTTGAATAGGCTATAGTGAAGAGCATTCAATAAGGCACGAGTGATTTCAGCAATGTATAAAGCTGCTGGTACTCTTGACCTTACATTCATCAGAAGGTCGCGTATATAGGGAAGAGGACGTGCCTTCCAGTGAATGGTGCGAACATCATCTAGTGTAGAGTCGGCTGTAATAGCAAGACGAAGTTTTTGTAGGCAGGGGGCCCCATGAATTATGGAAAAGAAGTCGAATGCTTGTCCTACTACTATGGAAAGCTCTAGCATCCGAATACTAGAGCTCACGGAGGATAATAAGGGCGAAATATAACTCCATGATCTCTGGTATGATCGCAAATACTCTAAAGGGGCGACCCTTTGGCACAATTTGGTGTACGATTCGGGTGGCATCTCCTGCCTCTCTCGTATAGAACCCAAGAGAACCAAGTCCTTGAGATCAGCTAACCTGATCAGCTTGGATATGACGCTCCCCAATGGCGAGGATGTTTCAAGGGATTGTAAACCAGCGTATCTGGGGTGCGCTAGGGCATCGTCAGATAACTGGGCAGGTGCAATATACTTGATGTGGGGTGCGTTCAGGTGACGAAGGGCCAAGAATAGCGTCGAGTCTCTGATATCGCTTTCGTCAATCGTTAGAGACTCGAGTGATGGCAGTAATCCCAGGTCTTTGAAAAGATTCCCGAGACAGTAACCGAGCAGGTCATCGGAACTCCCACTCTGCAACGGGAAATATTCTCGGAGCACCTTAATCTTCAGGTGCTGGATACGACTTGCTTCTCGCTGAAGAAATCTCTCTTGTACAACTGATGCAATGGGAACATCAATTGTCATACATAATGGTAGACCCTTGGACAAAAACAGCGCTGAATGTGCCCCTTCCAACGCGTCTAGGTCTCCTCTGATATATATAAATGTCCACAGTCTCGATGATGATAGTATGATGGAAGCCCAGCGCTGACATACTTGTATAAATGGCAGAATGTCCAGACAGTCATCGTCAATGACCTTGAGCAGGATATGCGTCCATAGCTCTGGAGGTAGATATTGTGACGAGTCCATGTATCGGATTGCTCGCGAATTCGTTCCTACTAGAGCATTGTGCTGCAACTTGAGGTCACGAAGGGCTCCAATTGGAAGTGGGCCTTCAGATCCATTCGATTCGAGGGCGGATATCTCCTGGAGTAGCTTCGTACGCTCATCCCCATTGAAATTTGAGTTTTTGTGTGGCATTTAGGAGGATTCAAACTGGCTACGTGATTGTTCGATAAGTGTGGCACGGTCAAGGTGGCATTGAAGGCCGTCCAAATTCTTAATTTAGATATACATGCTTTTTCTCTCACTTTAATCGAGAGAAATTGTTTATTTGCTTCATTAGGGATAGATACCCACATTATATTCAACACATTACTCGGTTAAGGCCTCCTGGGCATTATCTACATAGAGCAATACAGCACGAAATGGGCTCATCTACGAGGATATTAGATAACAGCCAAATAAACTAGAATGGTAATATAACATGATACCAGACAACTTGAGGTGTTCGCCATGGAGTTGGTGTACCACTCTTCCAGTGTACGGCTTCCTCGGCGATGCGACAGTGTGGCAGGTCGACGCACACTTGTGGGTTCAAGGAGATCTTGCCCAGGTGCCATTGTCTATTGAAGCCAATTACAAGAACTCTCGGCAGGCCATGAACAGCCAACGTACAATCATACACCTAATCGGCCAATGTATCGTTACAGACACCCCAAGGAGCTAAATAATCGATCTCCTTAGAATCTACTGCGACACCTATTACTGACTTGAACTCGTCGTTCAGGAAGAGTGACAGCTACTCACCATCCAGAGTGTGTCCATTGATGACAACGAGTCGCAAATAATTGTGTCGAGAACAGTATTTCTTCCTTTTCTTGTAGTACTTCCATTCAGACTGTTTCTGTATCCATGCCCTTCTTCTTTGCCGCCAGCTATCTACCCAATTTTGGAGGGGTTCGCCAAGGGGCGGGTCAGAACCTCCAGGCATGCTTGCTTTCGTCTTCTCGAAGGTCCACTCAAATAGTAATGGAAATTCCTCCGAGACACTTGAAGCAAAGGATGCATTGCATGACAGCCGACAAGTCATACAACTCCCACATCCAGATCTGTTTGGTGCAAACAAAACCCCGGTTTCAGACCCATTATTATATGTATTTATGAGAGAAGTA